AGTAGTTGATTAACTGAAAGCATTGGATATGCTATTTGGGCAAAAAAGATTTGGGGTTATTGATTGTTTTTTAGTTTTCTATGTTTTCTGCATTCAGCGTGTTTCGTTATTGTTTAAAAATGCGTGATATCTTTAAACCTTATCTATGCTGAACTAAAAACTTTAAAAATTATCTAACTTTCTTTTATTTTTTAGTCAGGGCCTTAAAAGTGTCCATATCAGTGTCTTATAAAGTTTGACCAGAAGAATACAACATTTTACCTCTATCTTACTCTTTCACCATGTAAGTAAACTTTTGTTGGAAGTTTCTAAAATAACTTATAAATTGAAATTTGCTTGTGTACCAAATGATATTAATTTAATCATTTTCTATCTGGTGAATTAATTAAGTAAAACCTTGCAATTTAACATCTATAGTTAGGAGGATCGTTAAAAATCTATTGAGTTATTAGTTTTAATATCTTGTGAGTAGAGACATCATGTTTGACGTTTGCTATGTATCTTGACTTGGTCCGTTAATTTTCTTCATTTCTTGTGCCGCAATGACTATTTTGAATGCCAAATAGCAAACCTTATTGACATTTCAAACGCCATGACAAATATTTAAGCTACTGTTTCAAATATTGTAGCCCAACAAAGATTTTAAAAGAGTCATTCATACTTTTATTTAAAACAAATCTCATTAACTTTTGTCATGTAGTTTCGATGTTTGGCTAGCATTTTATCACCTATCAATGCAAATGATGAAGGCGACATACTATAATCCAACATATTTAACACACTAATATTACGTTCAAAATAATCCAACCCGAGCATTGCACGGGCAAAGACTTATATCTTAAATAAGGCAAATAAATGTTTTCAAGACCCCTATTTTGAAGACTTTTGATGTAGGACATAATGGGTATACTGAAAAAAGAGTATTATTAGAAATAAAACATCATCTTAACTCCGGATCGGTTCCATAAGACCATTTTGGAAGGAGAACGACGATGGGAACAATACATTAAGCTACACTATGACGTACAATGAATTTCAGCCTTTCGAGTTCGTTTAGGTTTCGAAAACTGATTTTTAAAGTTTTGGTGCTATTTTTGTCAATTTGTTTATTTTGGTTTTTTTTGCAATTCTAATTTGTTTAAACTTCTTTTTTATTACTTTTAGT